CCAAGCAAATTGCACACCTAAGTTTTAACAGGTTGTAAAAGAATTCTAAAGGTAGGTGTGGATAGACCAAGTTGAATGACACACTGGTCACAGAAGTAATTAATTGGTAGCAAAATGATCCCTTCTGTAAAGGAAGGTCAAAGTGCAGTGAAACCTGCTTTGTTTCCTGCAATGTGTGACTCGAGCAGTTTCAGGAGTTGATCCCTTATTGTAAATTTATTTGTTCATTATGGGGCAAGATTCTGCTTTGCTGTTTAGTGATAAACATACAGGCAGCCAGGATGTGTTTTTTTTAAACTGTTTCTTGTTTACAGTATAGACTTATTAATCCACGCAAATATGTTTTCCAGAATCACGAAAGGCAATCTGTCAGTCAATTCTGTTATTATATCCATACTAAATGACTCTATCTAACCATTCATCACAGATGATTCTTGGTTTAAAAAGAGGTGGTAAGAACAAAAGTAGAAATGTCATGTCTGGGAGCAGAGACATTAATAGTTTCTGTAGTGATTGTCACAAGGTCAGCCAGGTAGACCTCCAAGAATGAGTTCCTTGATTAGACCAGATTAACAGTCACAGTCAGGGAGCCCTGGGGCTGACCAGGTAAGAATAGGAGTGTCAGAGATAGCAAGAACTGCAGATGGTGGAGTCTGAGAAAACCCAGTATGGAGCTGGAGGAACACAGTAGGCCAAGCAGCATCAGAGGAGCAGGAAAGCTGATGTTTCACGTCGGGACCCTTCTTCAGAAATGGTCCCAACCCGAAACATCAACTTTCCTGCTCCTCTGATGCTGCCTGGCCTACTGTGTTCAGAGTGTCAGATATCCAGTTCACTCTGAGAGCTGGCTCTGAGGGAGCTGGATCAGTGTCAGGACTCTCCAAGTGTAAATAAAGGGTGACTTGGTGACAGGATACTGGCCTCTGTGGAGTTATTTCAGTGGCAATGAGAGCAAAGCGTGCTCCTGAAGAAATTCACTCTCTGTCTTGGGTTTGGGGTAAGCATTTCTGGCATCATGCCATTATTTGGGAACCTTGACTCATTTGATTCTGCTGTTAAAGACTAGGCGCCCAGTATGTGGAATGAATGTGTTTGTTTTTATGCACAAATAACATTGGAACAGATGAAAAGCAATAAGTGATTTTCTTGACAGCTTGACAGACCAAAGCTTTTTTCAGTTATTAGGAGCCTAACTTTCCCTGAGAAACCAGATATTTGAAACCTTTCAAGAGTTGACTGATTTAGTTAAGGAATATTATGACCTCAAACTGCCACTAATTTTGAGATACTATTGCTTTTACTCAGCAATTTGACAACCAAGGGAGTCATTATTGGGATTTTTGACTAGGTTAAGATAACTGGCAGAGGCATATGACTTTGATTTAACCCTTAATGAAATGTTGTGGGATTAATGATGTAGTCATGAAAAAGCGCTTACTACCTGAAGCCCAATTGGACTTCAAACAGGCAGTACAACTGGCTTTATCATTGGGAAATGCAGCAAGTAGAGCATGAGTTGCAAGGTATTCCAATGGAAGCGGACACCCCTCACCAGGACAACTGAGCTTAGGGGACACCACTCGAATAAAGTTAATTGCATAGCCTCATTCAGGACATATCTTGAACAGAGGGACTGTAGGGCAGCCCACAGCAAAACCTCAAAACAAAGCCAAACCTTGACCAAACAATTAAAATTTTCTTCAGAGTCTGGGCTGGCAAGCCATTGTACCTGTTGCTGGCATGTGGACTCGAGACAGCAAAAGAGTGTCACTAGACCTAAATTGAGTAAGAGAACTCATAGGCTGGTATCCAGGCGAGTGCACACCCTGGAAAGTCCACCTAAATCTGGTTTGGAACAGTTTATTTGCTTAGCAACATCCAAATCAGAACCAATCAAAATAAACATCCGGTTAAAATGCCAGATACTGGTTGAACTCCAGGATCATCTAGAAGTTTCCAAAATGAAGATGTTGGTGAGAGGTAACAACTGGTGGCCAGGATTGGATGCAAGTATAGCTGCGTGAGTGGGGCAGTGCCCAGAATGCCAATAAGGACAAAAATTGCCGCCAGCAGCTTCCCCCATATTTGTGGGAATGGCCAGGTAAACCCTGGAATCAGTTACACGTCGACTATGCAGGTCCTTTTTTGGGTTTAATGTTCTTGGTCATTGTGCATGCCCACCCAAAATGGCTCAATGTGCACAGAGTTCATTGTCAAACATGGGAGTTATGATAGAAAAACTGTGTGCATCTTTTGCAATACATGGACTCCGAGAACTGTTGGTAACAGATAATGGGCCATTGTTTCCTAGCAAGGAATTTGAGTATTTCCTAAAGTTGAATGCAATTCAGCCTACAAGGACAGCTCCAATCCATCCATCCATTCATCCATCCATCCATCCATCCAATGGTCTGGCAGAAAGAGCAGTCCAAACTTTGACGGTGGGCTTAAAGAAACGGCTACAATTTCACTAGATACCAAACTGCCCTGGTTCCTATTTGATCATCGGATCACCACCTTATTCAACTACAGGGATAGCTCCGGCAGAGTTGCTAATGGGGAAAAGACAAAGACAAAACACCAGGTTAAATCTGATTTTTCCCAGGCATTTGGGGTAGGTGGGGAGTGGAGGTGGGTGTTGCTGAAGTGGCATCAGGAACGACCGTGCCAGAAATACAGCTCTGCTAAATGAGAGACCGTTTTACTTCAAGGGACAAAGTTTGATGTAGGAACCTCGGGAACAGCCCTGCATGGATGAGAGGCATGGTTGACGTGAGGTCAGGTACCATGACACATAAAGTTTGGGTAGGTATGACAGTCCTGAACAAGCACATGGACCATGTGAAATCTGCAAACTGTCAAAGTGTAGGAGCAAAGCATGTCCAGCTCCTTGACAGCCTTTCTGGCTGTTCCAGAACCCAAGGGTTCTCCCTATGTGTTAGGCATTGAAGATACCTTGAAATCTGAGATGCATACGGCAGATTTTGCTGCCTGATGAAGAGAACGAATTACTTCCAAAATTCACTAGGTGCAAGAGACAAGCAAATGAGCATTACATAGTGCCCATTATCAGAGGCAGATTTAGAGGAACCTGCCCTGGTGCTAAATGCCAAGGTGGAGCTACAAAAGAAAAAGCCTTTGTCCTAGGATTCATGGGGAGAGATGTAATGATTTATAACAACGTCAACTAAGTGGACATCAAAGAGTGATTTCCCTGATTGGGGCTGGGAACCTGGTCCGATCAGGGAGCCCTGGCTGAGAGATATAAATGAGAGTGTATGAGGTTCTGTTCTTTGAGAGCTGGCTCTGAGGGAGCTGGATTAGTGTCAAGGACTCTCCACATGTAAATAAAGGGTGACTTGGTGACAGGATACCGGCCTCTGTGGAGTTATTTCAGTTTCATGTAGATTTTGTGGTGGCTGTTGTAAATGGGAAGACTAACCAGATGGAAGAGTTTAAGAAGAGAGTGTCTAAAACATTTCTTGGATTTGCTCCTAAAAGTGAGTGGCTTGGAATTGAAAAGATTTAAGAATCTGAAGAACAGAAGTCTCTTACTAGTGTTAATTGTGGTGTGGAAGCAAAAGTATGAAAGCTGTAGATGGAATAAAATCTTGTGGAGATGGAGAAATGGAGCTTGTCTCAGGGTAGGGTTTGGAACAAGGTTTAAGTCTTTGCAGCCTCTTCCATTAATTTAATTCTTTCAGCCCTGGGTTCATTCTGCTGACTTGGTACTGTCCCCCTATCAGATCGCTACATTCTACTTGATGTGTTGCAAATTAATGACTTTTTTATTTCCATAGCTAGTAATTGTGGAGTGGATTGTGCTGCCTCCTTGAAATTGGTTTGGTGAATTTCAATTTCCTCTGTTCTGCTTGGCAGTTCAGTACTTTTACCAAGATGTTTGTTAGTTATTTATGTTCACATACAGGGATTGAAGGCAAGTGAACCTCCATAGCATTGGGATGAGTAGATATTAATTAACTTCGGGTTATAAAAGCTTGCTTTTTAACACCATACCACTAAGATATTATGTCAATATTTGTCATTTCTTTTGTGTTCTATATCTGTTATCTAACTGCAGAACTTTCTGTTAGCACTGTTGCCTGCTTTGTAGTCTGATCATTTTGGTACATTAATTGGTTACGTAATTGTACATAACTGAGCAGATTGATTAAAATGTTATGATGCAGGTGGGGCCTTGAACCTGGACCTCCTGCCTCTAGAACCCTTGTTAGTTATTTGCATTTGGGCTTTAACTAGGAATTAATCTACTCATAAGAAAGGAGCAGGCTGAATCTGTGGGCTTTGGATTGTGGGTACTCTTTGTAATGAGTGTTTCTAGATACTTCCATGTTATTATTTCAAGACTTTGCACCAGGTCTATGGTTCAGTGCCTGACTGTCTGTCTGAGAGTTAATGTAACAAGCACAAATCACTCCTCTTTAGAACCTATAATTGGCTTGGATGGGTGCAGCTGTGAGGAGTCTATAGGGTCTTGGTGCTGCTCAGGACGAATCCGTTCTCTTAATTGGCAGCCTTACATAAATAACCACTTTTCCCACAGCTGATATACCATGTCTCCAGGTTGTACTGCAGCAATCCTCCAAAGCTTTGGCAGTATCTCCCAAACATGCAAGGTCCACCACTTGTAACATCATCCAATGCAAGTTCTTCTCAAAGTCACTTGTCTGAGGTCTTGTGCTCTTTCATTGTTGGGTCAAAATCCTGCAACTCCCTACATGATCTCACTGTAGAAGTTCCTTCACCACATGGACTGTAGCAGTTCAAGAAGTTAGATCATAGCACCTAGGGATGTTGACCTTATCCAGTGAAGCTACATCCCAAGAATAAACAACAACAAATTGCCATAATCAAGCGTCTTTTCTCCCTTTCCCTCACCCAAAGCTTGGTTGGGATCTTATTATTTTGCCTTTTCTTGTCCCCCTCCTGAACAATAGTGGAAGTTCAACTCTGTCTAACTCTTCACTTTTATTTTACAGACCTATGTTGGAGATATTCTTGTAGCCATCAATCCTTTCAAGTACCTACCCTTGTATGAAAAGTTGGTAGGTACTAATTTTTTAAAATGATCAATCAATAGAATTTTAGTTCTGTGATAGCTAATCATGCGAAGCTTTGCTATTAAGTTTATGAATATTAATGAGCACCTATATTATTAATTAATTTTGTGGTCAAACCGGTGTATAGGTTATTAAAGCTCTCTGACTTTCCACAATTTTTTTAATCGTTTTTCATTGCAAGTACATTTTCTTGTGATAAGAAAAATCTCTGAATCCTTCCAAACTATGATGTGTTCCAAAAGTCAGAATTTGTATTTGAATAGAATATCTGTAAGATGACAAGAAACTGGTATCTCCTGAAATTCCCAGTACCAAACTTGGTAATCACCATTTTAAAAATTTTGGGTTTAAAGGAATTGCACCGATTTAGGAGATAGCGTTACATGATGGCCTGAACTTGCAAAATGGCTGCTGTGGCATGATCTTTAAGAGGCCAGATTAACATTCTTGAAAATGTTAAATTTATTGTGATTTGTATTAACATGGTAGAAGAGTTTAGTTTTGAGATGTGCTATAAGCACAGAGGAAGTTAACCAGGTAAAAAGACATTGTGTGAGAGAAGTGGATGAAGAAGGGGAACAGGGAGCAATCTAGTGTCCAGGCAAGTTAAAAGAATGCAAGCATGGTATGCTTGTCTCAAATAAATCCCCTAGTAAACATCAGGTGAGGCATTTAAGGAATTTCAAAATGAAGATCCCCTTATAGTCAGTGTTGTTAGTGGCGCAGAAACTTGATATGCAAGACTTTAATACAAAAATCGGCAGCCTCATTTCTCATCTTAGCTTAAACTTGTACCAGATGATGTCAGTGAGTCCATAATAAAAGAACTCAATAAATTTATTCTTGAATTGTGAATGATGTGAATTTTGATTCATTCACTGAGAATGCTGTATGACATGTGTAGAGTAATAGGATTACTGAAAATGTAAGATTGTGGGGTTGAGAAGTCATGTAAAGTCTGGTGGTGGGGGACCAAGAATTAGGCCCAAGGTAGTTTGAATTTTAGAACGGATTATAGTAAGGGAAAAGGTGAATGGAACCAGGAAAGATGAGATGGAAAATGTCTGTTCAGGGGAGATTCAGGCCATAGAGATGTATAGCACAGAAACAGACCCTTCGGTCCAACTTATCCATGCTGACCAGATATCCCAAATTAATCTGGCCCCATTTGTCATCATTTGTCCCATATCCCTCTAAACCCTGCCTATTCATGTACCCATCCAGTAAGTGTAAGAAAACTGTCAATTCTCTAAATGGCAAACAATTGCATAATATCATTGTTGGATTTCATGAAAATACAGCCCTGTTTTAATTTCTGTGTGTTTCTGTTTGTCAGGAAGCTGAAAAATATAAAAGTTGTTCAAAAAGCAACCTACCACCTCACATTTTTGCAGTGGCTGATCGTGCATATCGATCAATGTTAGGACGCTTAGCCACTGGCCCCAAGAACCAATGTATCGTCATTAGGTAAGAATACATCAATGGAGTTGTATTAAAATATCATGTGCTTGGGTGCATGTGACCTAGTCCATATGTCCTGCACCAGATGCAGTTGTTCACTTTCAACGTTTTTGTTTTTAAAGAGGCAGATAGGCTTAGACACTTACAATAATTTCCTCCTCTTTTTCTGGTGAAAAGGCTGTTTTTCAACATTGTCTTTTATATGATCTCATGATTTTTTGAGTAAAGGGCATAGGGTAACATTAAAATATTGGTTTGACCTCTGTTAGGGGAGAAGTAATGTAACTTTGCCATTGTTGATCAGTAGGTTGCATATGCCAGAAAGTAAGTATCATAACACAGCCAATGGTAATAATTATCTTTTCTGGATGACATTTTATAGTGTTAGGCCTTGTCTGGGTTGATGCTTTAGCTTTATAACATATATGGGTGAGATCGTTGAAGACTTATACCCTGTCAAGCATGGAAACCCTGCTTTCTTGTGAATACTATCAGTATTATTTCAAAACTGATTAACTTAGACATGGGGGATCATTTAATAGTGACATTTCCCCATACCTTCCCTTTGAAAAGCAGTCTTCCTTAAATTTATTTTTATTTTGAAAAATTGAGTGGTCTGATCACTTTTGCACTCATTAAATTCTGTAAAATATACTAGGATTTATACACTTACCATAAGTTTATCAAGCAACAAAAAGACAGAAACAATGCAACAGTTTCCATGATTCTGTATTGTTCATACTGCTCACAAAGAAATCTTGGGATTCGCCTTGAAGAATTTTTGCTGCTAATTTGCCCAGCTGGTAAAGCACTGACATTTCATATTTCTGTAAATATTGATCAGTAATAATTTAACTTCTTCCCTAGAATCCTAATACTGACAAGGTTTTTTGATTCGATTTATTATTGTTACATGTGCCTAGGTGCATGTGACAAGTTTTTTTTTGTTTTATGTACAGTACAGGCAGCTCATAGCATACAAAGTGCAAAAGGGTAATAAGAGAGCAATGAATACAATGTTACGGCTGCAGAGAAGGTACACCGAGTGAGATCAACATTAAATTTGAGAGGTCCATTCAGAAGGCTAACGGTGGGGAAGAAGCTGTTCTTGAATCTGTTGGTACGTGTTCTTAAGGTGAACGAATGTTGGAGGTTAGATGTGCATTTTTATTGTTTTATTTGCATTAACAGTGGGGAAAGTGGCGCTGGAAAAACTGAAAGCACCAAGCTCTTACTGCGACAGATCATGGAGCTCTGCAAAGGAAATTCCCAATTAGAAAGGCAGATTCTTCAGGTAAAATAGTAAGAGTCACTTGTTGGCTTGCTTCCCCTTCCTTGACAAGAAAAAGTTTAACCCATGCTGAGGACAGCTTGAAATTCCTCTTGTAGCACAGACATGTTGATGAACTAATGGACACTGCATACTTTCCACTTGTCTACTTACTTTCTTCAGTTTTTGCCTTTTCGTTAGAAATGTAGAATTGAAAATAATGTTGATTCAAGTTTGTGTACTAACAAATTTGTGCTGTTGCTATAGATCCTATCATAAAAAGTACACTTATGTCAGGCCACATAGGTAAGGAGTTTGCAGGGATGCTACTTGGCCATGGTATTTCGCAAAAAATTAAAAACTGTCATGGGAAGTCGTTTGGTCTAAATAAGTGGAGCAGCCACTGTGACCTGAGGAACAACAAACCACAGTGAATTGTGGCCATGCAGACAACAGTTATCTCATCCATGAAGAGAGAGCAAGTTAACGTGAAGAGTCATCTCGGCTCAAAACATTAGCTTGCTGTCTATTTGTGGATGCTGTCTTGAGTTGCTGTGAGGTATTGGGTGTTTTCAATACAGATTCCAGTGTCTGCAGTAATTTGCTCCTACAACAGTTATCCCGTCCCTGTTCCCTTTAAAGAACAATTATAAATCTGTTGATTGCAGATTGGGGACCACTTGCAGCAATTTGTTCTCTTGTAAAGTTTCTCACTAATCCTCGTTGAATGGAATCTTTATAAAAGCTGAATGGTATTAATAAGAAGTTAAAACCTGATTTAGCAGTAGCTGTTTAGCTGATTGTGAAGGAAGGCAGCCAACATTGAAGCAATCATTTATCTAATTATGTGGCTTCACTTGGTGCACCATGTTGAAACCCTCAAATATCACGTTGGTGCCATTTGACACCAAAGTGTTGACTTTTTCAGCTGCACTGACTTGAGGTATAGTCGACTAGACATTTATTTCTTGGGGTGAAGGCTACAAATTGGAAGGAGAGTTCTTGTGATCCTCTTGAGCAGCATGAGGGGTATAGATAGTGTTAATGGTATGTGCCTTCCCCCTAGGAAGGGCGATTCAAGATAGGCATATTTTTAAGGTGAGTGGGGAGAGATTCAGAAAAGACATGAGTAGAATGTTTGTGTGTGGAATGAACTGCCAGAGGAAGTGGTGGATGCAAGTACAGTTATAACATTTAAGACACATTTGGATAAGTACATGAAAAGGAAAGGTTTGGAGGGATGTAGGCCAAATACAGGCAGGTAGGACTAGGTTAGTTTGGGAACATGATCAGCATGTATTAGTTGTATTAAAGGGTTTGTTTCCATGGTATGACTCTGTAACTCCCCCCACCCTTTGGAAATACTGAGGTGTCAGACCACAGACTTTGTTGGATTAGAGAGAGCCAGATTAGGGAGCTACAACCTGTGCTAGACCGAGCTCTGTTTAAATTACTGCAAGTAAACATGATGAGGTCAATCAGAGTTCAGTTGCTACTTCGTGAGGTGAGGAAAATTTGAAATTTGTAAGATAGAAAGATACAAATCAAATGCAGAAAAG